CCTTTACAAATGATACCTTTGAATACCAGCGATCTAATCATAAACAGCACCAACTGTGAGTGTTTATTTGGTCCTGAGCAATTGCGTATTAGACAGTTCTCGATTGATTTAGATTTGGGAATCGTGTTCAAGATTATTCCTGTTCCTGCGACGTGTGGAGAGAAGGGGAGAAATACAGAGGTCAACAAAACCGCAGTAATGCAAAAAGGACCGTACAAACCTTTGAATCTGTGATGAAGCAGGAAATGCAGTACAAGTAGATCAGAATGTGAAAGAGAAGTTCACGTTAAATTTTCTTGCCCAATATTCTTTTTTCAAACCAGTCGGAACTCGAGCAGTAATAATTATTTAATTGCAATGAAATAAATTAGTCACTGAAGTGAATCGAGCTGTATTCCAAAGAGTTAGTCTCATCGACTTCAACCCAAACCTCCTCCTTGTTAAAAGTTAGTAACATGAGCAACAATTTCAGGCAGAGGCAGACCATCTACCTGACCCATCTAATTTCCCACAAGATTCCTTCTATCTCTAAATCTAAGAACCTTGAATCTTTTTAATTGACAAGTAATTGTTTAGTTCCTTTTAAAATCCTTGCAGTGCTTTTTACACATGACTTGTGCTGGCAACAGGCCGATCGAGAGGTGGATGCAGAATTCTCTGATCCCAACAAGAAACAGCTGAGAAATGTTCAGAGCAATTCAATTAATATAACTGGAGCAATGTAAAAAACAGGTCGTGGCTGCTTAAGACTAATGTTCATGTTAACATACTGATGTCAGAATATAACAACACAATGACAGATTTGCTCTGTGTTCCTTTATAAACTTCCATCTACATAACAATTGGATTAAAAGCCTTCTCTGGAGACAAGAAGAACAAAAATAGTCAGAAACCCTCGAATTTGTTCCTGTGTGTGTGTTTTTCCTTGAAATAAATGATTATTTTTGAAGTTATTTGAAGATTGCAATGAAATTTTGTGGCTGCAACTTCTATTCTTTAATGGATTCTGAATTTGATGGAAACCAATCCAAAACAAAACCAACAAGCCGATGGCTGGAAAGAGATCATTTGGTTTTAATAGAAAAATCGCTCTTTGAAACAAAATTCTATCAAACGTGGCTCAATGTAATGTCCAAACAGTGAACACATTTAACAAGTGCTCCAGAGCAGAAATCCAGACACCTTAATCCCACGAGGGCATCCCATTCATCTTTATAAAAGCTTCAGCAACATGGTGTTGAGGCATTCCAAGCACTCCAACAGATATACAACTGGAGTTTCCACATTTCACCATTAAAACATACATAGAATTAGTTCCAGCTGAAGTGGAGTTTGTGGACGAAACAGTAAACTCTTTACTATTATAATTGTGCAGTATTCTTACTGAGTAAAGTATGTTTAAAAACTTTACTTAGCATCCATATTGCACAACAATAATAATAATCCTTGCATTTGATATGGCACCTTTCATGTTCGGAGGATGTATGAAAGCTCTTCACAGGTTTTACTGTACGATGTAGTGACTGTGTTTTGTACAGGAGAGTGTAGCAGCCAACTTGCGCACTGCAACATCTCACAAACACCCATGAAGTGAATTCTGGACCAAAGTAGTTGATTCATTATCATTATTTTCATTGGAAAATATTCTACAATGTGAAATTTCCTGCAAGTTTGAATGCTCTGCTCAAATGTATTGATCAGAGCACTATACAGTCAATACACCTCACAGTAAATCTGCGTCCTCCTGACATGACTGGTGCTACATCAATGCAAGGATTATTATTATAATTTTGTGGCTGTTTTTTACAATATATCCTGTGAAGCGCTTTGAGACGTCTCAACAACATGATAAGTTGGTATATTAAATGTAAGGATTATTATTATTATTATTGTGTAATATGTTTGCTGAGTAAAGTAACTGGAGATCAGAAATGGAAGGAGGAAGAACGCTAGGGTTGGGCATGACTACTCCGAATGGTGAATGCTTTCTGAAAGGAACACATTGTTCCTCATTACACAAGTGCTCAAGAAAAATGTAAATAATTGGGAACTTAACCAAATCACCTGTGTCTTGCACTTATTTATACGGCCTTCAATAACAACAGCAACTAGGAATTGCATTTGTATAGCGCCTTTCACATCAGGAGGATGTGATTTTTAAAAAGTAAGTGGGATATTTTAAAATATTTAATATTTGTTAACAAAACAAAAAAAAGTTGGATTTTGGGGGTTTTGAGTGGAATGTGCAGCACACATCTTCCTCAGGCACGTCACATCATTGCTTTATTAATTGACAATAACTTTGGAGTCAGTTTTCTTCTTTGAAGTGAGAGGTAGAGATGGACAAGAAACAGATCAGTTGAAATGCATACCTTATTGATTGGAATTAATGATGGACAAATGGTTCTTGACAAAGCCAACCTATTAATACAAATTGTACTGGCTGCACGGAATCCTTTGCAGGCGAAAGACTCATTCCAAGATGAAAGACTTTGAAAATCGTATTCAACAAGATAATGACATTAATTTCATTTTAATTAATCTCATTCCTTAAAGCTTTGAGACATTTGTTTTGCATCAAGTAAATCGTTATAAGTTTATTGACTAGCTCAGTCTTATAAAATGACTCCTTGCACACAATACACCAGTGTTCATTTGTGTGTTCTTGCTCTGGGTGTCACGCCTTCATTAATCCACATATGGCGAGTGATATTTAGGTGGTGTGTAGGGTTTATTTGAGGAGTTTGGGCACAGTATAGGAAGCAGAGCTACCAGCTGGATACTCTGGTACTGTTTACTGGTTTTCAAACAAAAAACATTGCAGGGAAAGATGTTTTCATAGTTGTGTTGGTAGATCCTGTAATTAAAGGCACAGCGGAATTTTCCTGGCACAAGAATAAATTTGTGTCTTGTTTATTAGCTCATGAAGCGGTTTGCTTTTCCCTTGTGATACCGCCCTGGAGACATGGGTCTGGATGCAATTTGCACCTCCAAATGAAACCGGGTCTGAACAGTGATTACAATTGTGCCAGATGCACTTTATTCCTCCAAAACTGACTCATTCCTCAGCTGACATTATTTTCCCTGTGTATCTTCTTTGTCCACAATATGCATGTTTTTAAAAATATATTCTTTTTTTACTGCCCGATCAAACTAACTGCATGATATTTTTGACAACCATTCTTGAAACTGTAAATGTATGTATTGCTTGTGCCTACAGAATCATTGAATTTACAGCATGGAAGACCATCCAACCCTCAGGGCCTATAATAGTGTCAGTTCCTCTACTGGAGTTTACCATTCTAATATTAATTCCTTGCAAAAAAAAAAACCTTTCGTAAGGTCCATTGAATATAAAAATAATAAAATCAGTTCAAATCAAAATCATTTTATTTCATGCTGAATGGGGCTAATTAAACAAAGTGCCCAAGTACAGTGCTTTTCGGCATGTCATATACATTTTGTGCATCTTAACAATCCACATTCAATACTTGCCGCTTACGTAGCTGATAAATAGGATACTTATAAAACTGAAATTGTTTAAATAGTTTATTAAAACGTATAAGAGTAAATAAAGACTTGTAAGCGTTTCACCATATCAGGCAGCACAAGTCTCTGCTTCGATGAAGCACACTAACATGTAGATATGCAATGTATTAGGGTTCTGCTGTATGTGCACAAGGTTCTTCATTGATTGAAAATAAGCTTGGTACAGCAACAGCACTAGAGTGTGACTAGACTTAACTGACTTCACACATAAAGAAAGCTGCCCACTCTGAAAGAGTTTCTGCTCCGAGCTTGCCTTATTGCTGAAAGGTTAGCCTGCAACTCAGGGCAGCACAGCTAATAATAATACAACATTCCTTGCATTTGATATAGCACCTTACCATGTTGGCGAAACGTTTCAAAATGCTTCACATTAAAGCGTTTCACTCACATTGGGACGTCCTCCTGACGTGAAAGGTGCTATAATAAATGTAAATTGTATTGTAGTTACTGGAAAATGTAATGATTGTGTATTTGCAGGGGAATGCAGTAAACGATTTGTGCAAACAATGCCCACAAGCACACTGGCAGATGACATGCAGAGTGAGAAAAAGGCTTCCTGCCACAGTTCCCAGATGAGTGGACCCCAAGTGTTCAATGCAATATAATCAGATCTCTGACTCACTCTTCAGTTGTTTTTGTTAGAACGTATGCAAAGGCATCAGTCGGTGGGCAAACATCGATATGCTAAAAAAACAAAATTAAGCTAACTCTCATTCATCTGCAAATGGTCCAGTAAACTATTAATTTAATAAAGGGCTGAGAGATATCATTATTCATCAAAAGAAATAGCTTCTGAGCAGAATCAATTTGTAGTTCTTGGTATTTGCAGTAGAATAGATGAGAGGTCTCTTCCAAACTGCAGATAAGCACATGCACAGGCAGGTCTAAACACACCAAATGTTTGCTATTTGTTTAAAATGATAATTCCCACTCTCAAGACAATTTTGCCAATCAGCACATGATAAACAACACAACAGATTGAATTTATGTAGCTTCATTTGCATCAGAATGACGTCCCAAGGCACTGGACAGTCAAGGGTTTGCACTCGAGCTGGGGGGGTATAATTAAGAGGCATGGCAGGCAATAGGGTTGGTAGAGGGAAGATGGCCGATGGCACAGTCAAAGAGGGTACAGGCCTTGAAGGAAGCAAGGACATGTGTGAGGTGGAGGGACTCTAGGATGATGTTCCAGAGGGTGGGGGCAGAAAGGCTGAAGGCCTGACCACCAATGGTGGGGCAGGCAGGGCGGGGGATATGGAGTAGACCAGTAGCCGCTGAGTGGACAGACAGGGAAGTTGCTCTGGTATTAATAGGTCACAGAGGTTGGGAGGAGCAAGACCATGAAGGGCTTTAAAAGTGAGGACAATGATTTTAAACTCAATGCTCTGGGGGATTGGGAGCCGGTGGAGTCGGGTGAGGATGGGGGCGATTGTCTCACGGAGATTGGTACGGGAGAGGACACAATGTGCAGAGTTCTGCAGCTTGTGGAAGGACGAGTTGGTAAGAGTTGCGAAATCCCAATGTTCTTCAAGAGAGAGAACAAATAACTAGCTGAGTTTTTGAGTTGGGCTGTTTCACAAGCCTGGTCTGTGCAACATCGTCAGTCTAGGGCGCTCAGTGTGAGACGCACATTTTTTTTTGGTTCTGCAGTAACAGGAGCACTGCACTCATACTGTTTACAGAGTGCATTTTAACTGGAAACAGCTGCAGGTTAGTAATTTGTCACATAATTGGCTTATAAACCTCAGGTCAGATCAGCATCAAACATACCAGCATCTAATCGAGAAGGAAAGTCATGTGCGCGATGCCGTAGAAACTGCTGGTGTCCCCACAGCAAAACACCTCTATCCGTTTGATTCATTTCCTTGAACATCAGCACAAGTTAAAGGGACACAGAGCTAAATGAGCAAATGGAGGGGTGAAGCGCCAGTTAACACTTTCTTTCTATACGGATTTTCTTCGCTTTCCAAACATGTTGTTGATCAGCTTGGCCATGGATTTGGATCCACTGTATCTCCTTCTGTCCGTCTTGCTCCTCAGACAGTCCATCACGGCCTGAATTAGTTTGAGGAACATGTTAAAGATTTCCTGGTAATTCTCTGCCGCCGACAGCTCCTGGAACTGACACTTGTTCTCAATGGCGAGCAGGCGAGCCTCCTCATCATGCACCTCTCTGGCATGGCACAGATCCTGCTTGTTTCCCACCAGGCAGATCGGGACTTCAAAATCACTGGGAAAAGAAACGGCAGCTTGTTGTTGGTGGTGGTGTATGTGGGAGTGTGTGAGAGTGAGAGTAAGTGTGTGTGTGTGTGTGTGTGTGCATATTTTAGACAAAACCAAGTCTAAAGTTATTGCTCTACAAATCTCGAGATTTAGTTTATAACCTCACATAAATCGGATGAGCTAGGACCAGATATTTTAATACGATTTATGCAAAGTACGAGTTTTGTGAAACTTGCAAAAGTCATATCATATATGACTTGTGCAAAGTTTTGTATAAGTCAGATTTTAATATGACTTGCACATAACAAATACACAAGTAGTGTACAGACCAGAGAAGGGAGCTCAGGTTCCCTTTGTGAAAGGGACCAAAAAACTACAACTGGATTTGGATCCAAAATACACTAGTCACCGATACTAAAAAATAAATGACTAACCATATATCTAATCATGAACCACATATAAAGACTTTGGATTTCAGAGTCCAGCTCAGACATTCCCCTTTAATAACATCATTTCACTTCACAGAATATTCTATGAGACGTCTCAACGACGTAATAAGATGCTATATCACATGCAAAGATTATTATTCTTAGAATTGTTCATTAATAAAGATTAAGAACAGGCTCCAGAGACTGTCTTCTTCAATCACTGGGCAGTTTACAACAATAACATCTCTTCAAGCATAATCTACCTTTTACATTGTTCTGTGTGCGCTTCTTTAATCTGCTGAATAACACTTTTGGCAGTCACAAAGGAAGCCCGGTCACTGATGTTATAAACCACAATGAAGCCATTAGCCCATTCCATCGGCTCTACCACAGAATATTGGGTTTCACTGTTCTGTTGCAAAAAAAGTGAAAGAACAATTACATATTACACCGTCACAAGAAAACCACGTACACCAAACAGTTTAATGCCCTATTTACAACCATCAGAGTTCAGAACACGCCAGTGAGTGGGGCAGATAAGCATCTGCAGCTCCAGTCAAAATGGGAACTGTCCTTTTGTTTAGTCTGTGGTAAATAATATCTCTTTGCTTCTACTTCAAAGAAGACCTAGATGGAAAACTACAAGATCTTGTATTTCAAGGAAAGAAGGAAACTTATCCAATTTGCAATGTAAAACTAACATAGTTCATATAGTCATTGGTGTCTCTGGGACTGTTGATAAGACTGTTCGAAAACTATTGACAAAATACCTGGTGATCAAAATATCAATCTCCTACAAATGTAGCTATTTTAGGAAGCTCAATTATATGAAGAAAAATAACATCCATTCATATGTAAAGTGGCTGTGTTATTGGTCTGACTGCCCAAGCACTGAAAATCACTTAGAAATTATCTGTACAGAGTGATTTAAACAGTAATAACAATAATCATAATAATAATAGTAATAATACCTCCATTTGATATGGCACTTTTCATGCCAGGAAGACATCTCCAAGCGTATCATTGGACACATTGTAAATTGTAATGACTGAGCATTTTGAAGGCAAATTCCAATTTTTAAAAAATAATTATTTTAATAGGCAGTAGAACATTAAGGGATATTGGGAAAATGCTGAAAAATGTAATGAATAAAAAGAGAGGGTGATTTACAAATACAGGTAAGAATGTCACGGACTCAGTGACCTCCTCCTACGCTATGAAATTCTGTGTTTCTATATGTCATTTACATTTTATTCTGTAAATATTTGAGCCACTTGGTTCTTGGCAGTTTCTCTGGTTTGCTGACCAACAGTTTTCCAAATTGATCATTCACTTCAAGGTCTTTGGTGGAACTTTGACGACATGTCTATTTACAAAAACAGTCACCAAATTTTATAGAAATTCCTTTCAAAAGTTCACCATGATGTGCAACACTGCATTGTATGTCTTCTGCCCAACGCTGTAACTAAATTGAGAGTACCAATATGTATTTCGACACATGATACGCACAAGAAAACTAAGATAATGCAAATTAAGTGGCTAACCATTCCAAACCCTTTATTTCATTATACTCACTCACCCGAGAACATGGATCAAATATTTCCAGGTTCAATTGCCGGCCATCTATTGATAGTCTTTTCCGATATAGCGAATCTGTGAGGTTTCAAAAGAACATTTAGAAATATGAATATTTAATTGTAAAACATATTTGTTCAATTACTTATATAACTGCTGTAATCTACATTTAACACTTCACCAAAAATCTGCCTGACTTATGAATTTTTCAAATCGCAACTCCTTTTTTTGTCGGCCGGGTGTCTGAAACATGCGGAAACCCATTACCATGTTTAAGAGTATCCAAACCAAACTGAGAATTCCATGCATCCCACCTGCATCCCACTGAAATTCAAACTCAATGTGTACTGTATTGTCATTGTTTCTTCACGGTATGTTCTGAAATAGGTTGAGATTGTACTGTGTAACTTTGGGACCCAGTGCATAAAATCTATTTCAGTTGTCAAATGGTTGAGCAGAGACAATCGCTAACATAATTTTAGTAACCCTGAAATTCGATGAAAAGATTGTTACTTGTCCAAGAAAACACTTAAACTTGAAATGGGCTTTGATGCTGTGAACTCTGGACAGTTTTATTTGTAGGATTAAGTATCAGTTTCTGGTTTGAAACAAAACTTTTAAAACATTTCAATCAACCAATATTCTGAAATAAACACAATAGCACTGAGAGTAACCCCAAAACGGATAACTCTGTTCCCAAAATATTTATACAGGAAAATAATTTTTGTAATCGTTTGCCAAGAAAACAATTCAGAAATTAACCCATTTGTCTCCTTTGTTGTTGGACCCTGATTTGCTTAAAATGTGGTTTTGAATGGCGCCATAATTGTACCAAATTTCATACACAAAGTCTACTGAACACAGACAATTTGTTTCATGGTTCAAAAGAATTGTCTGAATTACGATGGGAATAGAAGGTCAAATTCAATGTCAAATAACTGACTTGTACTCAAATAACTCAGCACTCTGAAAGTCTGCATTTTTTTTTACTTTCTTTATGAACCTTTGCTAGTCTCCTCTACGATTCCAACTGTGCAACGTACAAATGTATTGTGTGGCAGTGGGTTAAAAGTTCAAAGTGTAGATTTTTAATTCAAGAAATGAAAATTTAGAGTATCGCCTATGTAGCCAGCGTCTTAGAAATATTAACAGGTATTAAATCAATTTCTAGGGTATTGAAACACATATTTATCTAAATTTGTAAATTATTCTATAACATCCTCTGAAGGTAACTGCAGAAACAATCACAGTTGTTTCCTGCTAAACCAGGCATTTTTTTTTTAAGTGGACTCAGATTTTGATCATGTTTAAGGTTTGCATGTTAAAAGCAGCCCTGCGAATTTGGCAGTTCTGAAGAAGACAATTATTAAAAGACAACTATTTGCAAAACTATTTTTGTTGAATGAAAATCTTCAGAAATCCTATTGGAAAATCAACTTACAAGCTCTCACCATGAGTCCCCTGCAGTAGAAAGTACCTACAGACTGGGTTGCAAAGCATTTGCTAACAGATTTCTAACTTCACTGCATTCTCCTATAGCATTCATTCGTGTAACAGGCATTAAATCGCATACTGATCATTGCAGTCAACTTCAGGGTGAGTGGTTTGAGAGACGTTGTATGTGTGTTTTTTCCCCCCACCACAAAGTTTTCAACAACGGTGAACTTGAAGACCATGCATTGATTGAAATGAACATGGGATTTGTTTATTTTGTCTGCAGTTGTTATTTGGTTAGTAACAACCAACCACTTGCTTTAAGATTCCTGAAAATGAAGTATGTATCCCTCTGGTGCTGGTTTTAGAGGGGGATCTACTCACGGGAGTTGGAGGCGTATTCACCGATGAATCTCTTAGTTAAAAACCTCACGAGCAGAGCTGGAAGAAAAATAAGACATTGTCAGGAGAAGTGGCTGCAACACACTGCGGGATTAGCACAGACCCGCAACTTTAACGCAAACTTAATGCAAACAGACACTGCAATGAATGACTTTGCAAACCTGATACACAGATACTTTCATTGTGATTCAAATGCATCCAATTGACACCCACAGTGTCAGCCCAATAAAAATATTCAAATACTGTCATTCAAATCAGAATTCACCCTGTGCTGAAGTGGCAGTTTCTGCACATCCGCTTGAAGCTTCTGCCAAACCCTGTTGCCTTTTCACAGCAGTGGGGGGAATAAATAAGTTAGGGGGAGTTGGATTAGAATAAATTTTGTCCCAAAATAAAAATATTAATCAATGGCGACTACAAAACGCTGTGGGTGGAGAGAGAGAGAGACCAGAACAACAATCCCAGGGAGATCTTATTTATTGCAAGAAAACATCAGAGAGCAGCAGTGCAGAGGGCAATTTGAGTGAGAGCAAAGTTTAGAGAGAGAAGCAATTTCTCTGCCTTGTCATGTCATTTGCAGGGGAGGCGAAAGGAAAATGCTAAACTTGATAGTTACCGGTTTGTGAAAAGAGAAAAATAAAAAAAAAGACCTTACCAGATTTGCCAACTGCTTCGCTCCCGAAAAGAGCGATTTTAACCTCATCCATCGCCCTCCTCACAGAGATCAGCACTCACTCACTCACTGACCAGTGTTACACAGCTGGGCTGCCTTCACTCACTCACTCTGCTGCTCCAGGGTTGAAATAGCTTCACAGAGGCAGAGGCTCTGGTTGTGGGAGATGGGGGAATGCTGTGATGTGCTCCTTTTACACTCCTCTCGCTCCCACCCACCCCCTGATTTCGTGCACACTCTTAATTCCTGACATCAGTGCTTGCCCACTTGTTCACTGAAACTGGGAGTGTTCTGCACACAAACCCCTTAGCCCTGTTCTGCCTGGGTCAGATAATGATATAAGCTTAACACACCCACTCCAAAATAGATCTGCAGATAATCCCATTTTACACGAAGCCAGAGACTAACACACAAATAAAAACAAGCATACACAAAGGGACAGACAAATATACAGTCAATCCACTTTCCAGGACAGTATATCTTCTGAAGTGCTTTGAGACATCTCGATAAAGCGATAAGGCGCTATATCAAGTGCAAGGATTATTAATAATAATAATAATCCTTGCATTTGATATAGCGCTTTTCACGTCAGGAGGACGTCCCAAAGCGCTTCACAGAACACACTGTAAAGTGAATTGACTGTATATTTGTGGGCGAACGCGGCAGCCAATTGCGCACAGCAATGTCCCACAAACAGTCGTAGATTGAAAATGACCAATTTAATTATTGTTTTTGGTTTTTTGGAGGGATTATTATTAGGCGTGTGGAGTAAGGAAACTTGCCCAAGGTTTCCCTGCCTGGAATTGAACTCAGGTCTCTCACTTGCAAAGCGAGTGCTCTAACCACTGAGCTACAGGACTCCACAATTTATTTATTATTTATTATTGAACCTTGGTCTTTTTAGGTCTAGCATTTCTTATATTCTTATAGATAGTTTTCTTTTAGGATATAACATTATGGGACATAGGACATAGGTAGTTGGGACATATGTGCATGTGACCACCAGGAAGGTGGAAGGCGAACTAGATGCACCTTGGTGTTTTATCATCTAGCATTTCTTATGTTCTTTATTATTGTATTATTATAATTATTATTATTGTGGATAGGCAGACAAACAGCGATAGGTAAACACACACAGAAACAGCCAGGTACACACTGATAGGCAAATGCTCACAGATAAATACATACACGCAAGCATAAATAGGCAAATGCTGTACTAATTGAGAAAAACCCTCAGCAACTAGAAACACAAATGAATGATTCTTATTGGAATATGAGTTATTTAATTGTGAGCATCACTGTAACCCAAGCAGTCTTTCTTTGAATCTTTTCACAGAATTACATGCCTACAAATACAGTCACTATACTTGTCAGTAATGATAAAAGGCAATACAAATAACATCAAAGATGTGGGATAAGATATAGATGTGGCACATGTAGCAAACTAGCTGCCTCGTTCTCCTAGAAATACACTTTACAATATATTTCCCAAATAACATTGAGAATGTTAAACAGGTCGAACAAACCACAGAATTCAAAGCCAGTTAATGTGGGGGTGACATTGTTAATGGGTACTCTATGTCACGTCACATTCATCGGGCTTACAGTCGATACTTGAGCTACAGAGCAAAAAAACTTTACGCCCAATGGAAACAACAAATACCCACATGAGTCAGCCACGTGAAAGCAGTGTTATTTCATATGGTCTCCCTGGGAGAGAAAATAAAGGAAACTTTGAGAAATTTAAATAAACTTAATTTATGGGCAACCGAGAGCATGCTGTGACCCAGTGGAAAAAGCAGGACAGTTACAATTTCATGACTTATTTCTGGATAAAACCAACTTACTAATAAAACATGCAAATAAAGAATAGGAATGTGTGTGAAACAGTGCAACTGGTGCTTGGTTAAATATAGCTTAAAAAAAACAGAAAGGCAGTGAGGAGGAAGCCAATCCCAAATAGAGAGGGGACAAAAAATCATAGAATATAATAATCCTTGCATTTGATATAGCACCTTATCAACATCATTGAGACATCTCAAAGTACTTCACAGAACATACTGGAAAGTTAATTGACTGTACATTGAGGGATTTACACTCAGTAATGGAGAGGACAGAAAAGAGCCCTGACGAGCACCGTCACCTCCAACCTCCAACTGTCACAGTTTGCCGTCTGTGACAATGTTGCTTTCAATGTTAAGAGGGGACTTGAACTTAAAGTTTTAATGCTCTTAAATTCTGCAAGAATCATAATCAATTTCATTTTGTTCTTTTTGGTAACAGATCTTTTTGAATGACAACAGTTCTTCAGTTAAACCGTGTGTTTATCTTTAACGCAATATTTAACTCTCAGGCAACACTGATGTTACACTACTTACAGAAAGTTTCATGTGTGCAGCAAATTGATCAGCAAAAATGACATGTGAGGGGGATGTTTGCGGTATGTGATGTGATCATAATCAATGGCAATTGCTGCCCCAATTATTGGTGATTCCAGGGCCCCATTAAATAGAAGACTGCTGGAGAAGTGGCAGGGGATTTAAGAAATTACCTTACAGAAGGAAAACTTGGGAAACATTGATAGAGTACATTTTAAGATATGCTTTAAAGTCAATTTTATACGCATTTGTTATGCAAGAATCAAGTTCAATTTATATTGTGGAATTCCAATTTGGTTTTAAAAAATTTAGTTTTCTTTGCATTGATCGAATTGGTAATGTACGAATTAACACATCCAGGAAATTCAGTGTTAAACTCATTCATTTCAGCCTGAGGGGATGAATAGAAAATCCATCATAATGTAAATGTACTTTAAAGAGATTTGAAATTGGGTTGGAAATGGATATAATGAGCGAATTACAGTCATGTTAAAATAAAAATACCAATGTAAGATTTTCCATTTTCATCTCGAACATCTGAAACGAGAGGGATGTTTTAAATTGAATAAGTTGAAGAATATTTTGTCCTGCAACAGACATTTGGTTATTTCAAAAGAATTCTTTGTAGCAGGAAATGAAGCTTGTAAAATAGTTTCCAGGCCTGTAAAGCTTGTGAGTGAAAATTGTTCAATTTGATTTTTAAGCCTGCTACCATTCAGGAAAGATACAATTTTTAAAAAATGAGCCTGATACTTAGCTCCTCCAAATGGTCAAATTGGTAACAGCATTGCTTGCTATAGCAATAAGCTATTCAGACCAGATGGTTGCAAGTTTTGAATGTGGCTCTGCACTTAGTGAATCCATCTCTCGAAGCACTTCACAGAATATATTGTAAAGTGGATCGAGTTTGTACTTTGTGTATGTAACATAAGAAACGCTGGACGAAAACAGACCAAGGTCCATCTAGTTCGCCTTCCACCTTCCTGGTGGTCACATGCACATACGTCCCGAACTACCTATGTACTATATCCATAATGTTATTTACTAAAAGAAAACTAATCTGTGTTTGAAAGAATCAACACTTCCTGCTTCAACTGTCTCCCGAGGGAGCCTGTTCCACAGGTTCACTATTCGCTCACTGAAATAGTGTTTGCGTAGACTCATTCTGAATTTACCCCCTTCAATTGCAGGCCGTGTCCGCTGGTTTTACTATTTTGGATAAGTTGAAACAGCCTGTCATGGTCGATATTGTCCAACTTCTTTAGAATCTTAAAGACAACAATCATGCACCATGTGCAAATACATACACAAACAGTGAGGCATGATTTACTAATCTTCTGACATTTCGGCAGGAAGCATTTCTACATGACACATGGTTTTAAAACTCATACCAATGCCTTTGGTTTCATTTTTACTGCGTATATATTGATTCCATTAAAGCAGTGATTTTCAAACTCTTTTTAAAACTGTATCCCTTCTGTCTGAAGGTTTCTGCTCAACTTACGATTTTCACTCTACTAAATGTTACCACAGTTGCAATAAAAGGCAGAATAATCTGATTAACAAATGTAATTTTTTCTGTTTATTTAATATATAATACACTATATGTCACAACAGTTTGGGACAGACAAACTGCTGGTTTAAGGACAGAATACCAATCAGTAATTCTTAAAACAAGTCTGTGGATGCACAGAATCAAAAGATGTGTATAACAGGTGGATAATAATAATCCCTGCATTTGACATAGTGCCTCTTTAAGACATCTCAAAGCCCTTCACAGAATATACTGTCAAGTGAATTGACTGCATATTTTGTGGGCGAAACTTGGCAGCCAATTGCGCATAGCAGTGTCACACAAACCGTCTTGGATTGAAGTGACCAAATGATTATTATTTTTTTTTGGATGATAATTTTTAAATTAAAGTAAACAAAAATGAAATATTTATGCACAGGGGATTAGAGAAAATATACACTGTTAAAAAAAAGTTCAATTCAAGATCATTATTTTCTTTTACTTTCATTTTTATTTTTGCATTCCTGAGTCATCCTATGACCCTTAGAAGTACCCCTAGGGGTATGCTTCCCCTTCCCCTCCCCCAATCCTCTCCCCCACCCACTGCCATTATTTGAAAGCCTCCACATTAAAGAATTGCATTAAAGGCTGATTCATATCTGTTAACAGAAATTTGCTTCAAAACCCAAATGAATCTCCGAACTCACGAGACTAATCTCGGTCAGAGGCCGGAAGGATATGAATACAGAATAATTCCAATTATTGTAACCTATTTCACAAATTGAAAGCACTGTAATCTTTGTACTATAACCCTTGTGATGCTCAATAATATGCAAAAAAGACAAAAGTCATAAATCCTATAATGTTCTTCCTGAGCTCAAGTCACTTGGAAAATTAAGATGGAAATTCGCTGATAGTAATTGGATCTCTGCCACTGGGGTTTAACATGTGGTGATGTCTAACTGGCTTCCTCAATAAAGAGTCCAAGTGGGAACGCTATCCACAAACTAGAGAGCTTCGTACACATCAGATTATAATAATAATCTTTGCATTTGACATAGCGCTTTTCACGTCTTCTAGACGTCCCAAAGCGGTTCACAGAATATACTGTAAAGTGAATTGACTGTATATTTGTGGGCGATCGCGGCAGCCAATTGCGCACAGTAGTGTCCCACAAACAGTCGTGGATTGAGGGAACAAATTATCTTATTTTTTTAAAATTTTTGAAGGAATGATTACCCCCGGAAAAGCAATGTGCCAATCGACTAACAACTGGGATTCGAGTGAGTGAATTGTGAGTCAGAGCCTCTTCCCCAGGCCTGATACCTGTAGCAATCTCTTGAGACAGAAGGAAATCTAATCACCTGATGTCCTGTGCTGCCACTGATCACTCAGTCCCACCAGAAGCACGGTTGTCCAGGTGACAGCAGCACTACTAAGTCAATGTAGAATATTTAGTCATGTACTCAATGATGCCAAATACAGAGCAGCCTCAACGAGGCATTTTACTTTGTTCCTTGACAGAAACAGCCACAGCTCCCCAGTTAACTCAAATAATTTCCAGCTCCCCCAGATCTTTGACTGCCATCTTATTCACACACTTGTTACTTTATAGCTGCTGGTGATGATTGCTTTGGCAATGTATTCCCTCGTTGATTAAACCTGACCTCCAGAGAGATAAACACAAATTCCAGCCAGAAACACCAGCTCATTCCCCACTGAAGTCAGGTCTGTTTTTCTGGCCAAGACTGAACCTGGCTGCTGTTGAGATCAAATCTTTAGAATACCAGAATTTCTGATGGCCAGTGAGGAGGGAAGAATTCATTCCTGAGCACAGTAAGCTATTACGAGCAACAAAAGCATCTCACCAACCATGAACTAGACAACAACAACTTGTATTTATATGGCACCCTTCATGCAGGGTAGTGTCTCAGAGCGCTTGACAGTGGCGGGGTCTGAGAATTTGGGGGGAGGCGACTGTAAGCATGCTCAAAAAGGAAGGTCTTTAGATGGGATTTGAAATTGGGGAGGGTGGGGGCAAGGCAAAGAGATTGAGGGAAGGAGTTCCAGAACTTCGAGCTATGCTAGTCTGTGCCATTTTACGAGAATAGAGTTTGAATTCAATTTGTTACTGCGCAAACTAAATCCCACTTACATTCTGGTCTCAGAACTCAAATCAAAAGGACACATGCAAACACAACATCGTACAGTATATTCCGGGGGTTTCGGGTGGGGTGAGACACCAAGTTGAGGGGCAGATTGGATGTGACTAACTCTAGGATTAACCTTGGTGGGTTTCAGTCCTAACGCTGTCTAATATTCCCCTCAACACCCCGCCCATCACACCACCACCACTATTCCTTCCGATTGCCATCTACAAAAACGGTTACCGATTACAATAAATCCTCTGAAGAGCTTTGAGATCACCTCCTGACGTTAAAGTCCTGATTATATCAAACCCAAAAGATTATTATGTATTCCTGATGGCAAAATCCAGGGTATTTTTTCACTTCAACCCCCTGCAAGTTTATATAATTAAATCGAACCCATTGGGGAGCAACACAAGCTTTCCAACCTCAAATATAAAGTGTGGAAATCATTTGAAGTAAACGTCTGAAGAATTATCCAGTGAGAAGCTGGTTCATCATATTCTGCGAAGCGCTTCAAGACGTCTCGAAGACGTGATAAGGCGCCATATCAAATGCGAGGAATATTATTATTATTATGAATAACAATGGAAATGTGCAGTGAGACACAATGGACACCAGAGGGAAGTAGTGAATCAGCCAACAGTGGAAGCAGTGAATTAATTTATCTTTGTACTGATGGCTTCACTTGCTACCTGGGACTGTTAATGCCCTCTCCCAACATTGCTCTTTGTGCTGTTCTTCCCATGGAGCTGCTTGATGACGGCAGAGTAGTGTTCGTTCACCTCAATTCCAAATCTGATCGTTTTCTTCAGTTTCTCTGCTGCTGTTCCAGTTGGGAGGCAAATACAACAACAATCTGGACTTTAACAAAAAGACCTTGTCAAGCTTTCCAGATGATGGAGGGGCTGGACATGCGCGTGATTACCTTGAAACAGACTCACAGCTCTCTTAGATACTTTAGGAATAGCAATCAGTTCAGTGAATATTACCATATACAGCAGATTGGTCATCGCACTCAGGCAGCATGAAGCTAGAAACTTTTGATAGGAAACACTTAACGCCAAACCTTGCCTAAATTTGTGACAAAAGGAAAGGGAAGTTTCCAATAATAATCATCCTCGTATTTGAGATCGTGCCTTTCACATCAGGAGGGCGCCTCAAAGCACTTCACACCATTTACTGTAGAGTATAGTGACGTGACACTGTTTTGTAAGCCACAGAGCCTGGCCCCCAAAACCAGACGTGAACCAACTGAGCATGATTGATAGCATTGAGCAATGGCACGTGGTTTGCAAATGTTAGTTTCACACGAGAACATTACAGCCCGGGGAGGGTGAGAGACAAAGCGCCCCATCAGCAATGCAGGTGGAGAATGAAGGCAGGTCTGAGGGTGAAGGGCAACATAATAACCCACTGTAGCACCGAGTATCCTTACAGACTCAAACCTCCAGCTAGTTGTGAGCAGTAACTGTACCTGCTGGACTCACATATCCCAGACGCTCAAGTATTTTAATAATAATAATCCTTGTATTTGATATAGAGTGTTATCACATCTTCGGGACATCTCAAGGCTTCACAGAATATACTGTAAAGTGAATTAACTGTATATTTTGCGGGCAAGACGCTACAGCCAATTGCACACAACCATGTCCCACAAACCGTCATGGACTGAGTGAAGAATGATTATTTTGGCTCCAGGTAGTGGGCCTGTGCTGAAATAACACAGCAGTTAATGGGATCGACCATGTGGTTTTCATAAACTCATCAGTACTGCAACACGAGAGCCAAACAGCTCCATTAATATTATTCAGTAGGTAGGTTGGTTTGACTCATGGAGTTTTGTTTACAGAACAATGCCACGTGACTGTTTCTGGACGAGCGAGTGGAACTTTGGCACATCGTCGCTGGCTGCAGCTGGAAATCACTGACTGGAAACAAAATCTATTGTGGTCTGAACCATGAGCTTGAATTAAACTCCATGACTTTCTACGCTAGCTTGGCTGCACATAACTTGAAACAGGATGGCTTATTTCGGTAAGCTATAAACCGTTAATAAAGAGGATGGGGGAAAGTCTCCCCTCACCCAACGTCCAAATGTTCCACTGAGGATGATATTGGATCTTGACCAGAAATGTCTCCTGGGTGATTTTTCTCTCCCTTCTCGGTCAGTTAAAGGTTTTCCGCAAAAATTTTAAAGGTTATCGGTCGAGGATCGCTTGCTCGTGCTCTCGTTCTTCCTAAATAACAAAACAAAATTCCTCCTCTGATATTTCATACACACATACACCAGAAATCTGTCTACAAACCCTTAAAGGCATCAGCATTGCCTTGAAAAGGCAGAACTGCCACAATCAGAGGCAGTCCCACCAACCGCACTCCCTCAGAGAAGGAGACTGACTGCGTGATGGGTATGAAATATTGTAGACCTGTTGAGGGAGATGATCTTGAAAATGCAAAGCAAGTGGTGGAGCAGATGGAGGGTGTGGAGGCGTGGAATAGTGCGCAGATGAGGATATAGGTAATTTCCGTAGCTGCCGAGAGCATTAGAGGTGAGCGACACCCTGGATGGATACTCCCGAGAACTGGAAGGAATAATCCTTACATTTCATTCAGCCCCTTTCACATCAAGAGGCCGTCTCAAAGCACTTTGCAGGATTTACAGTAACGGTGTAGTGACTGTGTATTTTTGCAGGCGAACAGCTAAGATGTGTAGAAATCAAACTTTATTCATCAGTCATGGTACAATTGCATTAAATAGACGCCTGTCTGACAGCTCTGTGTAGCTTCAATATCATTACAGCCTCCATTAGGAATCTACAGCCATCTACTAGGTCAGACATTGCTACGGAGTGTAGTAAACTGTGCTCTCCTCATTGAAAACAGAGTTTGCTAGCGGGCAAACATACGGAGGTGAAACGGTTTCTAATCTATGTCTGACAAGTAACAAAGAAAGCCAATTGAATGATAGAAAATCTTTGCAGCTATTCGACAAGTTACCGTATCTAAGAAAAAGCCTCACATTCAGACAATGACGGTGTGCACCTCTATTTTTGGTTAATTTGCTCTCCCCAGCGATCGGCCTAGGCTTTGTGTCTCTCCCCAGTGACAGCAACTTCCTAATGCAACCTACCATCATAGCCAGCAGGAGACACTCACACGCTGCTTCCTGCATCCTGGGTGTAAGCCTAAGCTAACCAAAGCTGGTTTCGGTGGAGCTTGACAATCTATTGCCTATAGTAAGTCCTCTTAGGAAATGCATCCTCCTTTCATGGCATCTTACCTGACATTTTCCCCTTCCAAAAGCAATTAGAAAGGTAGAGGGACAAACGTTATCCTTACTACCTGGTGTGTATCATAGGGCTGGAGGCAATGGAGGATGATCTGGTTTTTTTTGGTGGTGAGGGGAGGGGGGGGGCAACATAGAAAAATCCACAGCTCCAAAGGGCTTTACAATCAACCTCAATGGAAACGACTTTACCAAGTTAAGAGTCCATGAATGACTGAATGACTGTCACACTGGTCATTAATAGATATATAAAAATAAGATAATCCAAAGCTAAATCCAACTGCTATTCTAAAGACTACCACATTCGAGGGGGGGTGGAGCCAACAACCAAATACAGTGACAATTTGTTAGCTCTGTAAAACTACCCCAAGTCCTCAGCTCCTTACGAGTACAGGAAGCAAAGTCACAGCAGGACTACCTGAAATCTTAATGGAACCCTCAACAAGGAAACACAACTCACATTTCATGGGCTGAACGCCAGTTTCATTGCCCAGACAATAGTTGTTTCGTGTCAGTGTGTGTGCGTACGCGTGGGTGGGGGGGGAGAAGGAGAGAGGAGATAAGACGCTTGAATGAATCATCATTCCGTCTGCATTCAACAAAGAACAGCTTCAAAGCCAACCAGAACAATATATGTCAGTGTCCTGGAGGCACCTGCCCTGGTCCCGTTCCTGCACTCGACAATCACCGGGCTCCGTTACATGGTGCGGAGGCTGACTGCACCGTATGGCAAATCGTGGATTAAAAAGTCATGTGGATTTTCTCCCATTCTCAGCTGCTTCAATCATCAACGAGGGGATAAAGGCAATTCCTACATTCGGGTTTTCGGATGAAAACCGAACAGAGCAGAATGAATTGCCAACAGGGGGAGAGAGAGAGAAAGAGGGGGGAATCGCAGTCGGCCCGCCCCACATTCAGCAGCGACTCCCCTTCCTGTGGCTGTCTCTGTGGCTCGCACCATATCGGCGTCGCCTCTTGCGTTTCACCGATTCCTTCTCCTCCGAAGGCCAAGTGAAGCCGTTGACGGTGACGGAGCCGTTCAAGTTGTCGATCTCTTCGAAGTCGGAATCCTCCTGCGCGGTTACCGATAAGTTCACGTAAACATCTTTCAGTTTCTCCTCAAAATACAGTTCCAGGCTCTTCCCAGCTTGGGCCACCTCTGAATCCGCCTGCAGATGATAAGGACACAGTTTGATACAAATATCAGGGATTTTAACCTCCTTCTCCCCCTCTACCCAACCCGCCCACCCACCCAACACACACCACAAGTTGTCCTCTGTAACTTGCGCCTGTTTAATTGATAATTCTAATATGTCTTGCATTTCACATAAGCACCTTTCATGTTGGGGGGATGTCTCAAAACGCTTCACTGCGAAGTATTTTGGAGGTATATTGATAACATTAGATGCTTTGAGAATGCCCTCCTGCTTTGAAAGGCACCGTATCAATACAGAATTGTTATCTACTCTCAGAGCTGTATTCACGCACCACACGCAGACACAGGGGGAGCATGCCTGAGGGGATCAACAAACAGCAGTGGCATCGCAGAGACCTGGAGACTTACGTAATTGAACTTGGCACAGTTCATGAACATGAGGCGGACGTCAGATACAAACTCCTCAGGAGTGTAGTAATGCAGGGAGTTCTTCTTCTGAAGCTTTGCCCGGATGGTGGAGAGATCCATCGGCCTCTTGATAATCTGGTAGTAATGGCGAGCCTGAACAAAACAGTCTACGTTGAGAAATATTATTACCTTTCTGCACCTCGGTGGTGAAGCCCATCACCTCATAGTGAAACTGAACTACAGACACCAGGAAATCAAAAGGCCTCTCCCTGGTTTCTGCTTCACAAAATTGATCTGAACTTAGCTCCTGTTGATCTGAACTGAAAGTCAGAGAGGAGAACAACAATTGGGAGGAAACAACTGGGGTCAGCAAACAATACGTCAGATTCCTGCCTTAACATTAATAATACATGCATTTGATGGACCGTAAGCACGGTCGAAAAGGAAGATTTTCAGGCAGGCGGAGGGATTGAGGGAGAGGATTCCAAAGTTTCGGGGTGTAGTGGCTGAAAGCGCGACCTCCAATGGTGGGGCAGAGGGCACAAGGGACCAGCAGGAGGCCGGTGCCAGTCGAGCGGAGACACCGGGTGGTGGATTGGGGAGTGAGGTCGGAGAGGTAGGGAGGTGTCAAGGAGTGAAGGGATTTGAACACGAGTGTCAGGAGTTTGAAGTCGAACTTGTACACGCTACTCACGCACCAAGCACACATTAAGTTAGAGGCACTCTAATTACACACTGCGTAAACATGCGCCACGTGCTATTTACACACTCGATCAACATTAATCAAGCTCTATAACCCTTCCCATCCCTCGCTGGGCACATGCTCCTCGGACACAGTAACCAGCTGTACTCACCAGAGGGCTGACCGGCTCATGGAAAGGCATGCTCAGCTGGTGGCAGTGGAGGTACAAGGTCAACTTCTCACACTTCTGCGAACAACACAATCCATCATCAATAACACAGCACGTCAACATTACACCCCCGTTCACTGCAAAGCACATGATAAACACTTCTGGATTCCAACACCCAGCTCGGGCGCAACCCTCAACTGTCCAGCGCCTTGGGACATTCTTCCGATGTGAAAGGCACTGTATCGATGTAGTTTTGTTGTTGTTGTTACTCACCCGCTGGTCGCTGATGGACAGCCCCTGTAACGTCCTCTTCCCCCGTTGCTCGTTAATGTGTCGAGTGTTTTCACAGTCATAGTCCACCTCCGGCATCACCACACTGCGGCACAGCATACACAGCCACTCCCCCCTGCAACACAGACTACGTTAACACACCACGTGCCACAGCTTGGCAGAGAGACAGGCCCTCACACAGCCCACAGCGTCGGGGAAACTCCAGTCACGCCAGCCCGACCGCTTTTCACTTCACACACTGCAATGCCGAACACAGAATCCAGGGACGACAAAAGTCAGGAGAGACTTCAGCAATGAGAAATAAGTTTAAAAATGCAACTTAAATCAATTTTGCTCAGCCGTTCCATCTATTTCTCGCTCTGTTCCATCTCTCTTCACTCTTACTCTTCTCAAATCTGCATTGTTTCTACGCTAAACATAAACTTTTTTTGTTGCTGGACGTTTGCTCCTGGCTCTCGTTGCCCGCTGCTTTTTTAAAAAAAAAACAGGACTTTGTTTGACTGAGAAGTGGATTTGAAGGCCGGAATTTCAGCCAAGCAACAAAAGGCAAAGACTTGTCAAATCAAATCATGATTCAAAGGCTGAGGTTTCTCTAGATTCTCCCAGAGAAAAACAGTGAGCCTCTCACCAAAGGGTTCAAAAAAAGCAATCATAACATACAATAGAATTGAGCAGCATTTTGTTCAAAACTAAACTCCAAATATTGATCTCAGAATTAAGGGGAAGCAAGCTTGAAAAGATTGTGGAGCTGGCATGAGATTAACGTACAATTAATTATACAGCCAGCCTTGCTGCTGTACTCAGGGTAAGAGACCGTTCAACTGACAATAGCTTGGCGCCCACACATAAACAAGGCGACAGTTATATCTGCTCCCGGACATCTGAAAAGTCCTCCAGATCATCACAAGGGGGCTGCAGAACCAGGCCCTTCGTGGTCACGGCATGTGGGAGCCAGCTAGACGACTCCGATACACAGCACGACTTGCGATGCAGCAAGGCAAAACAAACCAAGCTGCATTGTCAGGGGGCGGGTGCCTCATGCAAGGCTGAGACGCCAGGCGTCTGCGGCTAGACTTACATTGGGAAGCTGAGCAGAGCCGGAACGTGGCAGCCCAGGTGATAGACCTTGGGGCAGCGATCACAGCACAGGAGCTCTCCGCCGTTCAGACACACCGCGCACCAGTCCTCGTTCTCAAAGGCCAGGCCTCCCAGCACGGCCGGGGCCATGCGAGGAGGGGTTCCGCTCTCGCTGCCGTCAAAATGTTTCTTGTCCGGGGGCTGCGGGGGGCAGTCTTTGCTCGGCAACAGGGCAGGAGTGGCAGCGAGGTCCTCGGTATCCTTCAGTGGGGGCGGAGGGTTGGAGTTTGGTGGGGTCAGGGGGTTGTCCAGCGAGATGTTCTTCAATAAGGAGAGAAAAAGAACAGAATCAACGACTGCGGGATCCAGGATCAAACATCTCAGATATTCAAGAATTCCCAATCTTACAAACAAAGGACTATCAGGGCATAATGGTTAGTTCACTTGCGTTGCAACCAAAAGGACCCGGGTTCGAATTCCCAGGCAGGGAGAGAAACTTTTCGGCAAATTTCCTTACTCCACGTGCCTCTGTTTACCGAGTAGTAAATAGGAAACCCGTTTGTTAGTCGATTGGAGGATCGCTTTCCAGGGGTAATAAGCTCACACAAAAAAAATGTAATCAGTCAATCCAGTTTGTGGGACACTACTGTGCGCAATGGGCTGCCACGCTTCGCCCATGAAATACACTCTTTACTTTACAGAGTATATACTTTACAATGTATTCGGAGAAGAACTTTGAGACGTCTCAACCGCACGATAAGGCGCTATATCAAATGCAAGGATAATTATTATTATTATCAGGAGAGTTGAGTGGGGTGGGGGTGTGGGAGAAAGTATTGAGGTCCATTTCTGCTCACTTTTTCTGGAGTTTCTGAGGTCTGTTTTTCCATCGTGATGACGAAGTTACCTTCCTCTTCATTAGCGTCCGGCTGCACTTTAAAGACAGGCAGGGGACCGGTCACCGGGGCACAGATGTGGAGCCGTTCCAGCCGCACGTAAGGGACCTTCACTGCCTCAGCCGGGGCTCTGTAAACAGCAGCACAACTTACACCGTGAGCGTATCAGCAAAGCTCCGTGCGTTACACAATCCACGACTCCCATCAGCAGTTTGCAATACTGAGGGTTGAAAACGGGTATTGGAAAATTCTGTGCCGACCAGCAACTAAAAGAGACATTCACCCCCACAAAATACAAAGTCAATCCACTTTACAATGGATCCTGTGTCGCTTCAAGACATCTCAACTACATGATCAGGGGCTAGAGCAAATGCAAGGATTATTATTATTATTAACTGGTTTTGTCCATCACAGTCGCGATGGACATTGGATCACAGCGTTGAATTGCCAATTTCACCACCTTAGACGATCAGAGCAAATCCTACCAATTGCAAAGCTTTCTGACGTGAAGGGTGTTACATCAAATCCAAGGATAATAAATATTAATATCGAGGCAGACGAACGCAGTGAGCTTAAAACCGAGCAGGAAAAAAAAATGATCCCTGACATTTTGGGGGATTGACTTGCAAAACGGGGCCAATGTCATTTTAAAGCTTTTATTCCACCTGATTCACAAGTTGTTTAAAATCTTGTTACCTGGTGTTTTGGTTGTCAGGAGGCCGCGGTGACTCGGGGGAATCCGACGGAACATCGTGTGAATCACTCACACCGGGATCTAGTTGAGAGCGACGAGAGAGCGGTCATCAGTACATCAAGCACTCGCTATACAGTACACAGGTAACTACTGACAGGACAGACACAGCACTTGCACCCAGAGTGCAGATCCAAGAAAGGGTGGCTTTACCTGGCATATCCCCATCCTCGGATACAGGAGTGGAGTCCAGAGGAGGGGTGCTGCTCACTGACCCCGGAGACAGGAGAGAGAGTTTACAGCTAAGGTTGACAGAGAGGTTCATCGGTTCTTTGAAGCCGTTCTCTTCGGCAGGATTCCGCTTACTTCCCAGGGAATCGGTGGGTGACGTGGAGCCCGTTTCCTCACTCTATAAAGGGAGCAATAATTCTTTCTCACAGCCAGTTTGAATCTTAAACCGCGCACGTTTCTAACAATCATTTGTACAGTGATCACAGGGGCCCTGAAATGTTCCAAATTTAAGATGATCTTACAGGCTAAGGTTAGGTAGAATTTGGGGGCCTCAACGCTTTGCAAGAGCGCTGGGGGTACAGAGAACATTAAGCTAACAAAACAGTGGAGAGATCACATGGTTAATTATTTAACAGAATCTCACCTTATACACTGTGTTGCTGGGTTCCCAGTTCACGTCCAGTTTCTCTGCTGGGAGACCCTCGGTAGGGCAGGCTGAACTGCTGACTGGGTTAGTATCCACAGCGATGTCCTCCTCTCTGGGGGACGTGCGTTTGAAGCTGCCTGAAGCAGAGCGCTGCAATGGAAACAAGGATGAATCAACACTGGGTGACGTTGAACAATGCAACACAGTGAAAGCCAATCCACTTGAACACAAGGCAAACTAATCCAAAGTAATTATACCAGTCGCTCTCAACCGGTACTGCTCTCACACACCCTGGTAACCAGTTTCGGAGTCATTTGGGGGAGAGCGGACCAGGGAGTGAGACTAGAAATAGCTCTTAGAGAGAACCAACACGGGTACAATGATCCGAATGGTCTTCTCTGCACTCAAATTCAGATTCCATTTGACAGAGGTCTGCAACAATAATACCTGATATACTTTATTACATCATCGAGAAGTCTCAAGTCACATTTCCAAATTCCAAGAAGGTTGTATTCTATAGAGAAGCAATCTGAGCCTCAGGCAAAAGAGGATGTCTATCCAACATCAGCAGGGGCAGTCACTCTCCAGGTTCCTTATGCAGATCTACCGAGTGAGCCTGACGAGCTCCGAACACTCACTAAGACAGCAGAGCATGAGACAATCATGCAATATGCACGGGCACTGAACACCAGGACAGGAGCATCATTAGATCTCAACCGTTTATGTCAGCAACACAGCGAATGAAGACTCTGTAGGCACCTCCTCAGACACCTCGTTTCCTGGACCAGCAGCTAGTATTTCTAGGGTATTTGTGTATCAAAGATGTGAGTTAAAACAGAACCCATTGGCGTGCAGCAACAGCTTCCACGGAGATCAGCAAAACAAGCACACCCAGAGGTCTGTCAGAAGAGCAACAATTCAACACAGCCCCCTTTCCAATTACTGAAACCATCACCAAGGCATCCCCAAGGCTTATTTAACCAAGAGTGTGAATGCAGCCTGAATTGCTCCAGCTATCAGGCCAGCTAACTGCAGGAACTCACCGTGTGAGAATTGCAACACCATTTACGTGTATGTAAATTTCACATCGGGAGGATGCCCTTCACAGTTTTGGGCACGTGCCTGAGCAATGGACAAATAAAGAAACGGATGGAGTTGGGATACTTCTGTATCGCAGATGTGAGTTAAGATAGAAGCCATGGTAGAATTTGGTAAGTTAAGGGTTAATGTGTTTTTATTTTGCACAAGTAGTGAGAGGTCCCCGACTGCTTTGGCTTCTCTGAAACCCTCAGCTAAAGTAGCTGCTAACTGGGATCTGGGCTGGGAAAGGTGTTTGCCAGCCTGGGAGAGCCTCAGCATCCGGGATCAGGGCTGGGAACAGGCTGAGTTGATGGGGTGAGACACTGAGAGATGGTGTGCGGTGAGAACATGGGTTCTGTAACTTGATGCACATGTTATCCCCAGCTGCTCCACAGTGCTGAAGTATTAGGGACCCACCTGGCTAAGGAACCAAACAACGGAGGCCTTCACTCTATAACTAAACTCATGGAGCTAGGTCAGCTCAAGGAGACTGCTTACCTCCCCCAACCCGCACCCCCCTCCAAAAAAGCAGATGTTTTGAGTACATCACTCTTAAATAAGCACAGGGGAAAGTACACAATCACATTAATAGGGCCCAGATGATCACCTCTGCACTCCCAACCCCCTCAGCGTCTGAGCCTCTTTTAAGCGCTCTGAAACGCTGCCCGCAATGAAGGGCCCTGTAGTTGTTGCTGTTAATCAGAATGTTTCCACCCCCGTAAATAAGTATTACACTTTGTCAATAGTAGCAGTCGTCAGTCCTCTTTACCTCCCCTTTTTGTGAATAAAAGAGCTAGCACATTGCAGCCAATCCCAACACGTTCAAGACCAAATATTGGCACCAACGAGTCAAACGCCATTTGTCCAGAAGGCTGTTTACCTTTATTCTTCCTTTCTTCACAGGACATGAGGGCAACAAGCGTGCCGAGGCCGCCTTGGAGTGGGACACTGGTTCCCCATCAGCTCTGTGAGGCGCCTTCAACTCCAAGGACTGAAGAGGGATGTCGCCTTGTCCGAGGCACGTCAGGCCGTGTTCTTCCTCAGCGCTGTGGGAATCGGGCAACTGGAGAAGAAGATGGCGAGGTACGGGCGAGAGTTAAAACAAGGTCGCGACCCTTCTGGTTCAACCGAAATTTTGCAGCCGGCGAACCGCACGCCAGACAGTGGCGGTGAGCAGCGCCGATGGCACAGCCCAAATGCAGATATGGGAAGAATGTGTGGGCTTTGAAGAGAAACCCCATTAGCTCATGTACGATCTCGAGGATCTTGAATTTCCAGCTGCATAAACCACCAAGCATGCAGTTTCCTACCAGAGGCCGATGCAGATGTGTCAATGGAGGTTTCTGCTGCGCCTTGAATTTACGCCAACATTTCAAACCCGCCTGTCTCTTCCCCCACCCCACCCCCACCCTCCCCCGGTAACATTTCCTTCTTTGTGTTTTTTTTTCCACAGCCGGCGAGCTGTGCCCTTTGAGACAACGCTACTGTTCAGACACCTTTGACGCGGAATAATAATAATAATAATACTTCCATTTGATACAGCGCCTCATTAGGTCGTTGAGACGGCTCAAAGCGCTTCACCAAGTATCCTGTAAAGTGGATTTTTTGCGAGAAAATGCAGTCAGGGCAAAGTGCCCATCGCAGGCGCGCAACTTACGGCGACTCGATCAGCCACGGCAAGGGGTGACACCCTCTGGGTTTCCCGTGGCTGCTCCAGGCGTAGGTGCCGGCTGTGGTCGCTTGCAGCCTCTCTCGGGAGCTGGGGTTCCATCGTTGCTTCTTGCTGCCTGACCGGGCAGTTACGCTGGGCTCCGGTGACTCGCTCTCCATGCTGCGGAGCCCGGCTGTTGCTCCGCTGCTCCAGAAGCTCCTGAAGACTGACCGGCATTCGGTCCAAGTCTCGTTGCTCCTGCTGTTTCACCTCCGGGCTGTGCTGCTCGGCGAGCGACCCCTCGCGCTCCTCTCTGCACGGCGGCTGCGGCGGGGGAGAGGGCTGCTTGGGCCGCTTCCCGGCTTGCGCTTGGCAGAGCTTGTCCGGCGGCCTCTGCAGCTGCAGCGGGAGCAGCGGCTGTTTGGGAGGCTGCGCTTGAGGCTGCAGCACTCGCTGTTGCTTCGGCTGCTGCGCGGGAGCCATGTGCACTTGTGCCTGCACTGCGTACAGCATCGGCGGCACGTGCTCACCCAGCGCCAGCGCGCCGTGCTCACGCCCAGGGTGAGGGGCAACCGTGTGCCAGCGCTGCAGGCCGGGCGGCCCCTGCAGGGCCACGGGCTGCGAGATGCTCTGGTGCAGTCCGCTGTAATGCAGCTGCAGTTGGTGCTGCAGATGTTCGGGCAGATGGGGAGGGTGCTGCGCGCAATTCGCAGCCTCGCGCTCGCGCTGCACAGGATGGACGTTCAGATAGTGGCTGCCGCACACAGAGTATTGCTGCTGCACGGGAGTCTGGCGCAGGAGAGACGGCTGCAATGCATGTCCGTGACTGGTCAGGTCACAAGGCCCCGGGCCCGGGTGGAAGAGAGGCTGACATTCTTGGTACACCGGGTTTTCGCGATCAGCTGACAAATGACCTGGAGAGGAAGGCGGACACAACAACAACGACAAATTACACTTGCACAGCGGCTTTCACGGTTGGGAGGACATCCCAAGGTGCTGGGACAATCAAGAATCTGCGCCCGAGCCAGGGGTTGGGATCAGGAGGGGTACAGGGCAGGGAGGGTGACCGAAGGCATGGTAACTTGCAGATTTTCCTACCTAAATTGGAGAGCTGCTTGGACCAGGTGGCGGAATCCCAGCGAAACTGAATCTTGGACGGACCCAGGTCCACGTTGCACTGCGTCTCCAGCAACCGCCGCGTCTGAAAGAGGATCTGCAAATAATGTGAGAAATTAACCGTCAGGAAATAAACTCAAACACTCCCAGGCAACCCGCCCCGCAAGGCACCAGCCCGTCACTGCCCATCACCAGCCGGTTAGCAACTCTGAGCCGCTGCTAGTGAATCCCGGTGTAACGCGTGGCCTTTTCGAACCCCGGGATCTCTCTAAAAATGTTGCCGTCGGTAATCTTAGTTTTAGAGCAATACCATTCTTTGATTACATGGCGAGGAGCCATCACAGAACAGCAGCTGGAAGAAAGATTCACTGCAGCTCATGATATTCCCCTTCGCTGCTCACCAGCTCATCACAGCAAACAGGGAACACATCACGAACCAAGTCTACCCCTGGATAATAGTAGCAGCATCTCCATCGCTAACTCAACCACCAAATGCACCTTAAGAGAACTAAACTCTTTATGGATCCCCTTGGCTGTTAAAAGTACCTGTTCCGACGGGGGTCTCCATCCACATATGCTGTAAACCTCATCGTCAGCTATGGAGTGTTTCAATTATATGGATTCACTCAAAAAATGTACAATCATCACTACATTTACTGTGCTATGTGGGGTTAATGCCCTTCGCACCCTATGCCTCGTTTCTGAACTGAAACGGGAAGCTGGTGTCTCTGATGCACCCTCGCCAAGCTCACTCACTGATGTGCGTGTGTGGCACTCGCTCACCATGCTCACTCACCAGCTCTTTGCTGAACAGGAAGGGGATGCTGTTCTTCTTGGAGACGGCCCAGTTGATGAAGTTGAGCACGTGCTCCAGGTGCCGACAAACGCCCACCACCGCTTGAAGCTGATGGTCCAGTTTCCGACTCCGCTCATTGGTGACACGCTGCAAAAGGAAAGGGACGCCCAGTGTCAGCACAGAGAGAGAGAGAGAGAGAGAGCCTGCTCCCTGCACAAACAGGTCACAAACAGACTGGACTAAGTCTGGTGCAATGCAAGTCTGGCTCCTATGATGTAGACAGCGTTTATTCCGACAGATAAGCAGACAGTTCTCTTCATACAGAATCAGGGTCTGTAACCCATTACAGTAATGGCAGTGCTAACCCTTCATTTGATACAGCGCCTATTACACGCATTATGTGTCAAAACACTTCGCAGAAATCACTGACATGTGTGGTGACTGTGTGTAGGAAATCCAGTGGCATTGAGTTTTTTTTTAAAAAATATATTTTACCAGCCTTGCACATTGCTTTGTCCGAAGTAATGTATTTGTGATCGTTGAACATCTCTCAAAAGTAGAGATATTACAGCTGTAAGTCAATTACAAACTCTCACATAGACAGGCACTCCCGTTGGAGCAAATTCCTAATGGACTCCACACTCAGCTGCTGAAGGCCATCATTGCCGCTATTAAGTCTCAGCATTTTCTTTCCACAACCCCCTACCCACCTCCTGGATACCTTCAGCTAATGCGTTGGCTAAGTTCTAGTGCGTGGGAGAAAGGCAGAAGCCAGTGTGCAAGGTTACAGCGCTGTACAAAGCAATAAATTCTCACTTTGGGCAAGAAGCCACAGTGGCAGCTTAGAAATGAAGAAAACGTGAACAAAAAGAATCAAACGCCCTGTACCTATTAAACCACTCGTCTGTTACAGGAAAAAACATCAGTATGTCATTATACTGTAACAAAGGCACGCCATTACCTCTTTTATTGTTCTCTTTTCTTATTTTTCAACCTAATAAATAACCATGGTGAAAAGTACTGCCTTGTACAACTCAGGTCTATCATACAATGGTCACCAGAATTTGATTTGTTATGGCAGCATATCATGTCATCAAAATGTTCCGAAGCGCTTCACAGATTTACTGTAAGGTGTATTTTACTGTGTATTTTAGTGGCTAGCGTGTGATAGATCTCAGTATTGGCAGTTCCAGTCAGCTCGGTGTCTACCTCCAGCTGGTCCATCAGAACATTCACTCGCTTGTTCAGCTCATTGATCACAATCATCTTGGCCATCCTAATCTGATTTTCCACCTTCTTCTGCATCTGCTTCACTTCATTCAGTCTGGAAGACAGATTCGAACCCAATGTCAGCACCTCAACACAGTAGTTAGTGGTCCTTATCTTCACTTAGCAACTCTCATACGAGCTGCAGCAAGTTACACCAGTTAGCCCCAGTTAACCTGTGAGATTAGCCCCAGACACAGTGCTCTCCCTCTCTCTTTTGTGGTGAATGGGATGCATCACCTGTCCTGCACTTGCTTGGCTGAGTTCTGGATACTGACTTTCTTCTCCTCCACTTTCACGGTCAGTTCTTCCAAAACGTTCTTCTGGTTCTGTAGAGCATCGTCCAGGTATTTGAAACTGAAAAGGACAAAAATACACAAGAGTTTAAATACTTTTTAGGGCTTCGTTACATTTTCATAAACACTTTTTTCAAGACACAAACTTCTCGTTTCACATCATGGCACTGGATCTTTAACGTGCCGCTGGACAGGCAGACAGGAGCTCAGTTTCAAGTCTCATCCGAAGGTCGGCACCTCCAACAACACTGCACTCCCCCACCGGAGCGTCAGCCGAAAATTATGAGCTCAAAGTCTGACTTGGCGGCTTGAACCCACAAACTTTCTGACTCCGAGGTGAGAGTGCCAACAACTGAGCCAGGCTGACACCCATTTAGACTATCGTGGGGCTTGTTGCATGGAATTTCCAGCTGGTTCTGGATACTCTCAAGCACGGCGATGGGTTTCTGCGTGGGTTAGACACTTGGCTGACCAATAAAAAAACCTTTCATGTCGCGTCCCAGGCAGAGTTGACTGGGCGCTGGTTCTCTCTCGCCCCACGGTGTGCCCTGCCTTTACCTGTGCTCTTTGTGTTGTGTTAGCTGGCAGTTCCAGCATGCCAGCATGTCACAGGTCTCGCAGAAGAGCTTCAGCGGTTGCTTGTTGTGAAGAGGACAGTACAGCGGGAATTCGTCAGAGTCACTGCCATCACCTGAGCACAGAGCAGAGCGACAAGCACAGGGTAAGAATCAAAGCAGGAAGAAACCCAGCGGCACTTTCAAAACCTGACGGTCGCTTTCATGTCTAGACTTTACATCAATTGGGTTAATTACGCTCTCAACCTTCAAGTAAAGCCCTCCCTCTGCATCATTAAGGCATTCCCATTTACCACACCCTTAATAATAATAAATATCCTTGCATTTGGTCATAGCATCTTATCACGTCAGAAACACATCTCAAAGCGCTTCACAGGATTTACTGTGAAATGGAGTGACTCTGTATTTGTAGGTAAACGCGAAGGCACAAGTGGACCCGGCAATGTCTCACAAACAAAACTTTTTTGTGGATGGGGGGGTGGAAATTGTTGTCCAGGTCACTGGGTGAACATCTTATTCAAACGTTTAACTAAATAACAGAGTTTAACTAAACGGGTTGTGTATCCAGTTACTCAGCTTCACAAATCTTATACTAAACAGCGTACACCATTTAGATTTCTACCGAGGTGCAAGGAATCATTAGCTTATGGATTAGTTTAAATCCATTCCTACTGGTTATTCATTGACAATCCTGAGATTACCCTTGTATTTTGTCTGAATGAGACGGCCAATGTTTGCTGTGGACTCATGGCCAACATGAACTGGGTTGAGAGTTCACAGATTCCCTTCACTCTGACCCTTACAGCCAGCAAGGAGAGGACTTTCAGAGTCTCAGAAACATACTGCAGCTGATAGTCTCCTTGCAGAATTAGTTTTGATTTAAAAAAAAGTTAATTAATAACAATAATACTTGTTTTTGATATAGCACCTTATCACGCTGTTGAGACACCTCAAAGCGCTTCACAGAATATATTGTAAAGTGGATTGACTTTGTATTTTGTGGCTGAAATGCTGCAGTCAATTGCATACAGCAGGGCCCCACTAACAGTTGTGGAATGCACAACCAATTTGTTTTTGGAGGGATTGTTACCCCTGGAAAGCAATCTACCAATCGACTGACAACCAGGTTCCTAATTACCGCTAGGTAAACAGAGGCGTGTGGAGTGAAGGAAACTTGCCTAAGGTTTCGCCCCAACCAGGAATCAAGCCCAAGCTGATTGGATAACAACTTTTAAGAGAGAAGTAGACAATTATTTGGGGAGGACCTGTTTGCAGGGCTACGGGGAGAGAGCGGGAAGTAGAATTGATTTGGATAGCTCTTTTAAAAGAGTCGGCACAGAGACGGTGCGATGAATAGCCTCTGTCTGTGCTATATAATTCTATGATCGTATTTTTCTATGAAGTCCACTCATTTGCGAGGCGTTCGCGCTAACCACAATGCTAAGGAGATCTAGTTTGTGCACCCTCTGAGTAACTGCGGTCATTAAAACTCTCATGCTGCTTTGAAGAGTTCTGCACTGAAGTTACCTGTGGTATTCTCTTGGGCGGACAGCATGTGGTGCTTAGTTTCCTTCCCACGCACATGTTCTACCAGGCAGGTATTGCACAGCCACTTAGTGCAGTCGGAGCAGAAACTGAAAGCTTGCTTCTTTTCTTCGCAGTCTGAGCAGAACTGAGGAATAAACAAAATACTTGAGAAATCAGCTGAAAGCAAAATACCGACACAAAGCTCAATCTAGGTCAAGATGTTGCAGTGCTGCCGTTGACAGCCTTTACAATGCGAGATCTTAATTAGCGTTAATTTAATGCATTCCTACTTGGTATGTAGAGACTAATCTGATGATACCCTTGCAGTTTGTCTGAAGGTGACAGTCCATATTTGCTGTGGATTCCAGTGTCATCCTGCATTGACAAGACTATACCATTACAAAGACAGTACGTGTCAATTTCGGTTTGCTCGGTGGTTGGAGGGTGGCCAGAGAATAGTGCTGTCTCTTGTTTCCTTTGGAAAGACAATCGCTGATACCTTGGTTACCTGCAGGAACTGTGGGCTTCCAAAAGCCAACAATAAATTAATGTGTGAAGCTGTAGGGTGATTTGTGAGCTCGCAGACTGTTGCGCTGTGAAGCTGACTCACAGGAAACACCCCACCACAATAAATGTTACTTTCAGAAAAACAGAGAACTCACAAGAGAACAAGTGCAAAAAAAAACAGACTTGAGAAACAAGCTACAAAAACATCCATACGAGAGTTATAGAGAGTGTGGAGTAGAGTATTTGAGAGGGACTTGGGAGATGACCTGAGTTGGCAATCTGAATTTCTATCGGTAACAACAACTTGCATTTACACAAATCACTTCAAGTAAAATAACAACTCAGAGGAATTTCCAGTGGGGAGGACAGGCACTGCACAGGGGGAGGGCAGAGTGAGAGAGGAGAGGTGACCACAGACGTAGTTGAAGAGTTAAGTAGCCGGAGGATTACCTAGATCTAGGTAGGATTCCTAGAACAAGGGAAAAGAAACCCTCTCTCCTCCGACCCAGCCCCCACCACACTAAAATAGAACAACAACTGTTTTTCCCTTCCCTGTGGGACAGATCATGACCTCCAATTAACAACTGGTTCCCAGGGCCATGTATAAAATCAGAACCTCAGTGTGTGGGTGTTACAGAGAGCCAAGTCCATCACCCTGTGGGGCAATAACAGCAATTTACGTAGTGCCTTTCAAGTCAGAAAGATAGTTTTAAGTGAGGCACAGGATGGCTGAAAGCTCGTCCACTGATGGTGGGATGAAACGGGGGTGTAGGGACATAGTGTGTGTATATATATTCTGAAATAAATCTGAATGAATCTTCGCCCTCCCAGAGTATCAGTGTGTCAAATGCACCACTTTATTCAACATATTTATGTAACTTTTTACTTGGCAGATCATTAGAATGTATGCAATGAGCCTGAAGATCCTTAAGCAAGGCCCTAATTGGGATTAAGGCCCTTGATTACAAAAAACAGTGAGTTAGTACTGTAAACCAGCAAAGGAATGAGATGCCTGCACCTCAATTCACAGTTCTCACTAATTGCAAACCCAAAACCTTGAATCAGGAGCTGCACCTTCAGAAAGCAGATACCCGGGATTGTCAATGGAATTTATTTATAGCACGGCTGATGAAGCCAATGGCTCGACCAGGGGCGCTCGTACTCACCACAAAAAAATCCCAACATTGAAACGTGCTACATTGTAACACAGCTTTTCACGTAAGTCGTAGGAAACCACAGCAATGAGTGCCCACACACAGCTTCAATCCTCAAAAGTCTAAACAGTGTCGGATATAAATTCATTTGAAAAAAAAGTTCTGACGAAAGGTGATCGACCTGAAATGTTGGGCGTTCCCAGCGACTTCTGTTTTTATTATGAACTGATGACAGTTTGTTAAGAACCTCAAAGAAATGTGAATGCATCTTTCATCCCCCACCCCCCTCTTCTCTCAGAGTGTCGGAGTTTCAAATGCACCATTTTCTTTAAAAAACTTTATCTCTGGCTTTTTATTTGTCAAACCGATGGCAATAACATGCCGCATTATTGAGCGGATGGTGTTTTGGGCGTGAGAACGAGCACCTTGAAATTGAACAGCTGGGAAGATAGGAAGCCAGTGAAGACTGACGAAAACTGATGAGCAGAGCAGGAGACGAACAAGCACATTCCCCATCAATACTGTATTAACTTGTGCATTGCAATACTTGTGCTACTGCGAATACACTAGGTGATGCAGTACAAGAAACAACTGCTGCAGTGTAAGAAGCAATGCATCACAGGAAGGCTACTGCACAACTTCCGCAAAACCACATCTGTCGTTTCATCTCCATCCACGCTCACAACACAAGAAAACTATTGCTTTCGTGAGCTGACCTAGAAAATGCGCCATCCCTTTCTTTAAGCAACAACTTGGAATAATACAGCGCCCTTCACTCTGGACGGAGTCTCAAAGCTCATTAAAGGCAATGATAGGTTTGCATTTTCCATTGTACGCAGCAAAACTGCATGTAAGCACTTTGTAACTTCTTTTTCTTATCCCAGCTGAACCACATACCAACAGCTTTACAAAGCAAAAGATGTTTTGACCTCAGGCTACGATCAAACACCTCTCTGTCGAGCACAAGTGTGAATATTGTTGCCGCTTTGGCTTCCAACCACTAAACCAATCTATGATCCTATTAGATGCAATCGCTTGGGTGCAATGTTTCAAGATCAGAATGGGAGATTAGAGCATGAAGAAGAAAACAAGCTGAAGGTTGATGCAGCTACAGTCAAGAGAACAGCTTTGCTTCTAGGAAAGGTGCAGTGAAGCTGTGTAAGTGCACGAAAGCCACAGAATGTCACGTTCAATATCTAACACCTACAACCCAGTATTAAATTGTAGAATTAACGAGATTTGCAGAATTAGGAAGTAGGAGGAGCTGTGCTGTCTTTTAAGTCTTTAACATTAAGTCTTGTTTAACGGATCATTGGATATGAACTTGTTTTTATTAGTCTAATAATAATTAGTCTGATTAATAAAAACTAGTTCACATTTTTGTTGAAACCTAGATCCATGCCGATATCTCATCACGAAAGCAGGCACTGAACAGTGTTGTTTACTATAGACTGGAAGTTGGTATTTGGGAATCGTGAATTGGGGGGAGGACTTGGAATAAAGAAGTTGATGGCAAAGAGTGAGGCAACAGAATATCCACAATACAGAGGCTAGGATAGAGAAAAGGGAGGCAGTAACAATGATAGGAGGAAGCTGGAAATTGGGCATTGGAATGGGGATACAGGAGTTTAAGAGAGAATAAATAACAGGTACCAAAATAGAGAGAAAAGGATGAAGCCCGAGGACTGATAGAGTCAAGGAATGAGGATGTGGTGCCACACAGAATGGAGGAACTCGGTCACATACATACAAGCTGTTTCTGTACTACTGTAACTCACGCACTAACCTCCCGCTCTCTAGTGAGTGATTCATAGCTAGAGATTTCCCATCAGTTTCCTATAACCTCTACAGATGCAACAGCAAATACGCAGCAAATTTGGTGTGACAGCAAATACGCTGAAACTTCATTCTTTCTAAAATACAGACAAGTCAAGACCCACGTCCTATACTCATTGGCCACCATCCCATACAATGCCACCATTCACCTCCTGCATTTACAATCCCATTGTAAATAAACTAATATCTGCCCTTCCTAACCAATATGTCCAACAGGTTCTTCTAGTTTCCTTTAACATTGAGCTCACGGAATAAATCCACTCCAACCTTCCTTATCTTTTCATTCTTTTCGGAACAATTCTGTAAGCCCAAGACTCATTTCTGGAGTGGACTGTAGAGGAGAGAAGGAAAACCAGCATTGGTACTGACTGACTTGTGCCGCATGATACACACGGACCTGTTGGGCTGAATGGCCTCTGTGTTGTTCTATGTAAATCTACAAACAGCTGGGATGACACCAGACATGTGTTGCCATTACTTTGCCTTCGGGTCCATCTCCTTTGGACAAGAAGGGAAAGTAAGACATTGAAATAATAATCCTTGCATTTTAAATGGCAAATGCAGAGTAACCTTTCTTGTAATATAGGTCTCACGTCATACAGTACAACACGTCCTGTGATACTGTTTGTGCCATATTGTGTGGCACATCAGTCAGTGGCAACACTGGTCTTCCTTCACCACACCAGCTTCAGAAATCTTCCTACCAAAGGACACACCCTCCACCTCCCCACTGACTAAGATCAATAAAGGTTCAATGTCTTCCATATATTGTTGAGTAGGCAGAGAGTCTGGAGCAGATGATACTACGACTACATCACACGCAGTGTTGAGCACACACAGGAGCCGAGGTTATATCAACTAACTGTTAGCAACCACATCACTGTGCCAGAGAATTAACTACCACATATCTCCTCAGATAAGAAAATGGAAACAGTTCTACAATTGGATATGCACGACACTTGTGTTTGTAACACTCATCTGATCAAGGGGAAACCTTCGCTTTTGCTCCCACTTCAGTTTGCACCTGAACCTCTCAATGGAAGACAAATGAGCGCTACGGATCCTTGAAACAATGTCCCTAAACTACACACAGGGAATCACAGCTCATTTTAAATAAAAACAGATAAGCACCTAATCTCTGCAGCATTAACAGCATTGCATAAACCAACCTCCAGTTTTGAATAGATCAATGACACCAGTCAATAAGCAAACCCAGTCTGCTCTTTAACTTGGGCAACATACAAAACTAAAACCAAACAGTGTGCGACATTAAAAGCTTGTAACGTTTCAATATCCCTGAAGTTATTTGTGTACTCACTCCACAATCCAATGGCAGGTGCGTCCATGCGAGCACCATTTACACAAAGGTATTTTGATTTAACAAGCCTGTTACAGTCCATCTGTTCTTCGCTACAGATCAAAGCCCAACTTCAGTCACATTAACAAAGAAGAACACACGTTATTCAGGACAGCATATGGGGACGGGGATGAGGGGTGGGGGAGAAGAGAGAGAAGATTTGCACTTACATTTTCCATCTTCTCTACAGCTCGGGGATAGTCTCGGATGAACACGTTTTCCACTACATCTCCTGTGAAACACGTCTGCCTGCAAGCAGGGCAACAGATAACACCTGAGGTAGCCAGAGCAGCAAAAAAAAAACACACACACATCAAAATCAACAGCCGGAAATTAGATTAACCACACATACAGCATCAACATATTCAGTTTGATCTCCTGATTAAAAAAAATGCCTTACCTCTAAAAAAAAACGTTAGTAAGTACTACAACACCCAACTATTCATTCCTAGCCTGAAAAAGTACCAGTGAAATATGCCTTCCGACTGAGACTTCCTAAGTTGTATTTTAAATGTGGTCACCGTGAAATCTATCCCACTTCCTCACCGATATCTTTACCTTTGTGCTAGTAGCAATTTCAACTTTACTGCTGAACATTTTTTTTCAAATAATATTAAACCCTGTCCTCCATAGCAAGTTGAATATTGAATTTCATTTCAGTTAATAGGAAATGGCTTTGCTGATCAAGAACCCGATGGTAAAAAAAGATTACACACTTAAGAATAAATAAAACGGTTTACAATGTAATTGGCTTCAGTAGTGAGTGATATTCATTGGTATTCATTCACTCACTCACCGATAAGGAAATAGCTACCAGGGAGGACTGCTCTTCTTTCAAATCACACAGAGGCTGAACGTTCTGCTTGGGTTTCTTCGTGTGTTATTTCCTGAGTTGTCTATATCATGTACTCCAATAATAGGGTCCCTGGAGGACAACAAATGTCCACAGTGACCAGTCTAAAATGAGGTGGGAAAGAAAGCAGAGACAATCTCCCCACGCTCATCCTTGGCTTCCAACGGCACCATTGTGCAGCTCTCCAAAGCGCTATCCCGTATGATGGGCACGAATATAAATCCAAGTTGTATTTGTTGTTGTTGGTCCGTATTCATAAAGATCGAGATCAGAAGGATTTTTTTTTTAAATGTTCACCATTTCTTATAAAAGAGCCCTGGGTTTCGTGAGTAACAGAATTTTCACTTTTTGGGGGCTGATTAAAGATATGTCTTGTATTTTTCTTACACTATCCAAAGCTTGAATTTAAAAGATTTGCGGTTGGATTCATCTGCGTGTGGGCGTGTAAAGGCTATTTTGTCAGCAGCTCTGCGCTAACCTCATGCACATAGTTGCATTCTGAACTGTAGAATGAATGTCTTTTTCCACATTCTTGCACAATCATAGAGATTGCAAGTTCAGTTGTCCAGTGGAAAGATCAAAAGATTTATGCAACTTAAACCAACAACCAGAATCTTGTTAATAATTATGAATTATTGATGGTATAGGGAGAGAAAGAAAAGCAAAGCCAAACAAACACGTACTCCATGTTTTAGAGATTAGGTTCAATGCAACACGAGAAGACCAGTTCAAAACCAACAAGCCTTTTGTGCTATTGGAGATCAGAGCTAGGTATAGAAGGAGATAACTGCAGTTGAAATCGCAACAAAAAGGACATAGGTTTACAATTGAGCAGGACTTCAGATTAGAAGAATTTCATCCCCTCCCCAAAAACATGCAAAATAAAGTCAACAAAAGTAAATGACTCCAAGTCCATTAACTTCTACTGGAACAGTGTCTGCTTGCAGAGAGTATTGGTGGGCTCTAGGGATTGGTTTAGAGACTAAACAAAGACTGCCTAGTGGTTTCTGTACTGATAGAATAGTGGTGTGCAAACTGAAGGTAGTCATCATTCACTAGTGGAGATGGGAGGATGTATATTATGGTTCTCTAGTGGACATGGAAAGATGCATGTCCATTATAGTAAGAGGCCTTTTCAGGCCATTTCTGATTCATGCTTTAAGTTCTTATAAAATTAGATGTTCCAAAAACATATTATTCAGGTCAGCAAACCTAGAGGTAACTAGGATGTCCTGGTAACTCTTGCTCTCTTTGAGCCATTGGAAATAGCAGTACAATAAAGCACGCACTAAACTCGATCACATCAAAAGACCAAGTAGGTAAAGGAAGTCTGATTTCAAGATTCTCCATAAGAAGACATTATCAGTTTAACCTGAAAATGGCTGTAGCATATTGGTTAAAGTACTTGCCTCGCAAGCGAGAGAACCTGGGTTTGATTCCCGGGCAGGGCGAAACCCTTGGCAAGTTTCCTTACTTCACTTGGCTGTTTACCTAGCAGTAAGTAGGAACCCCTTTGTCAGTCGATTGCCGGGCCATTTTTCCAGGGATAGTAATCCCTTCAAAAATACAATAAAATAAAAACATAAACAATGTGGTCACTCAATCCATGACTGTTTGTGGGACACTGTTGTGCACAATTGGCTGCCACATTTCATCCACAAAAATACAGTCAATTCACTTTACAATATATTCTGCGAAGAGCTTTGAAATGTCTTGAAGACATGTTAAAGCGCTATATCAAATCCAAGGATTATTATTATTAAATTATGAGCAATTGTCAGACTTTCCTAAAATGGTGTTTTTCATAAGGCATAGGCCCTTAGCATCAAAAATGGGCTGCAATTCGTCAAGCACAGAACAAATAATACTTCTGGAGTCAAAGCAAAAAGGAGCACCAGTGGACACCATGCTAGTTTTGTAAATAAGAGTTCAAATGAAATGTATCAGATATAGTCATCTCTGAACTCTTTCACAAAGCTTCCGACCACTTGACTAACATTTGCTCAGTATCAGAAGGGACATCACCATTATATAGATCTCGTCAGAGCAGAATTCCCACTGGTGAGTCGACGTGACAGAAATCCAGTTACAAATAGGAATCACCATTTAGAACTCGGGATAAAAAAAAAGCTCATTTTGATCTCAATGAATTCCTCCCCCCCCCCCCCCCCACTCTTACCTCCAATGCGTTCAAGGCATTTAATACAAAAACAAAGTTGAAAAGAAAACATGGACTGGAATCTGTGTAGAATAAATTTACATGAATGTTAATTCTGCGGTCCTAGGATTTGGTCAGGCGTATCAAGAGGGAAATACGAACAGTTAAAGAAGCTATTTAGAGAAACTTTGACTAAATATCGCAAGCACACAGTTAGGTGGGGAAACCGCTCAGGCTCACGTATTCTACAAAAACAAGAAGTGCTTGGGCGGGAAAAGCTAGCGATACCAGAAAATAAATACCCTAAAGAGGGTTCAAGCTCAGTCAACCAATTCCCAAAACATCCATTGAGTGATGCAATGCAAACGGGTGAAGTGTGAGACGACACAAATGCAAAAGGTCCCAGTTTGTGGGTAACGGTAACAAATGGGCAGAAATTGAGTTACTAAAATATACAAATAATGTTCTTCCACTGACAAAATTCTGCAGAGATGGTACAGTAGGGTCAATGTCCCACTTGGTTGTTGAGTTGAGCATCAAAGAATTCTCCTGGCATTCAGATCAGTCCTCTCTTATCCCAATTGGTAAAATGATTAAGTCGGGCAACCTGTGCAGGTTGTGGGATTATTGCCTAGTTTGCTGAATATTATTAATAATAATAATCCTTACATTTGATATAGAGCCTTGTGGTGAGGACATCAAGCCAATTCACAGAGTATTGTAAATTGTAGTGGTAGGCAGACACGGCAGCTAATTGCTTAGTTTGTGGGATATTGCTGCTGCAAGTGCTTACTTACCGCCACTGTACAGTCTAACCACACCCTACAAGCCATATGAGGAACACAGCTTAAAGTAGCTCAAGGGAAAAGTCCTACAAAAGGGTCTGAATGGCTGGACAACATGAGGATTTTATGATTACTATCAGATGGGAGGCAGACTAAGGCCTAAAGCTAACATTATGGTAGTCTTAAACGAACCATACAAACAACTTGCACTGACTGAATATAATGTCCTTTGTGGAGGACAAGTAAGACCTCCATTGCCCAGATCAGACTGCACTTTGTAATTTATATTATGCAGCTATGTTCAGATAACAGATTGAGATCAGCCTGGTGAGGTGACAGTTTTTAAGAAGTCACCAAGTTGCACAAAAATTAGTCAGCCAAGATGCAGATTTTTATCTTGATACTTGCAAATCCCTCCATGGACTCTCCTCACCCTACCTCTGTGACCTCCTCCTACCACACCTTCCCAGCTGCTCCTTTTACTCAGTGAACACTTCAGGTCTCCCCCACCCTATCTGCCCCACCAATGGTGTGTGAATTACCAGCCATTCAGTCCCCGCTCTCTACAAATCTATCACAGGACCCCTCCAACTCGATAATAATAACCCTTGCATTTGATATAGCGCTTTTCACGTCTTCTAGACGTCTCAAAGTGCTTCACGGAATATACTGTAAAATGAATTAACTGTATATTGGTGGGCGAAACGCGGCAGCCAATTGCGCATAGCAGCGTCCCACAAACAGTTGTGGATTGTAATGACCAATTTATTATTGTTTTTTTTCTTGAAGGATTATTATCAGGCGTGTGGAGTAAGGAAACTTGCCCAAGGTTTCGTCCTGCCGGGAATCGAACCCAGGTCTCTCACTTGCGAGGCGAGCACTCTAAACACTGAGCTACAGGACTCTACAATCGCTCCATCCCTCCATTCCTTCCAAGGCACATCTCAAAACGTACCTGCTTCACCTCGCTTTTCGGTCACCTTTCCCCTCCCCCACCTTCCCCTTGGATCCCACACCCAGTTCGGATGCCCGTCCAATACTGTGAGATGTCCTCCTGATGGGAAGACGCTGTATAAATGTAAATTGTAAGGATGTGCAATATGTTAGTTTAAGCAGGAGGTGGCGATGTGATGCAGTGCAGGAAGAGACGTGATGGCAATCACTTCACAACGTTGATGAAGATTTCATCCCTCCAGAATACCCAACCTACCGTTCCCCCCACCCCCCATCACTACATCAAGCTGCTTTTTAAACAAGTCCAGCGTCTAGTCTCCACCACCTTTCCTGGCAACCTTGTAAGCAATCCAGAATTCTGGGTTGCTCGAGTTGACCAAAGGGTTGCACCCCCCTCCCACCACCATAAAAAAATCGTAAATGTTCGTGGACATCTTTAGAGAACACAAAGTTTTCAACATCGTCGTTGACGAGACATTGTTGTTGGTTACAAAATGGACTTTCTCAGACTTGTTTAAAACGAA